TGAAGTGGGAGGACTGCTTGAGCCAGGAGTTCAAGGCCAGCCTGGGCAACACGTATTTGCTGCAGCGGTGTTGCTGGAATAGCCATTATTTGTCCTAAAAGTGCATTTGTAGGAAATGGTTAAATAAATTGTAGTCTGTCCATATTGAGGAATGGTATGTTGCTTAAAATAATGAAGAAGATCTGCCTGTGGAATAACGTCCAAGATAAATTGTTACTGAGAAGAGCAAGTTAGGAAATGGAAAGTCTGTTATCCACACTCAGAGTGGACGCGGCTGTGTCTGTCCTGCTCTCCCCTGTTCCCTGGGGCCGAGCACAGTTCCTGGCACACAGGAGGTGGACTTGAGAGCCCCCTGCTCTCCCTTCACCTGCTCTCTGCAGCCACATGGGTCCTTTCAGCTCCTCCTGCCCCCAGCTTGTCCGTGCTGTTGCCCTGCAGGTACCCCGTTAATGGCACCATCTGACGCCTAGTTACTGACTTGGGTTGCGTGTTGATTGTTCTTCTCCTTGCCAGGACCTCAGCTCTAAGGCACCATGACTCAGCTGTTTGATTTAGTGCCTGGCATGGTGCTGGCTGTCAGTTAAAGCTTATCGAATGTGTGAATGAAGGAATCCAACTTTTACAAAACGAAGGGAGAAGTATGTATTAAAATGTGTAGAAATTAGAGTATTTTCATGGAAAAGCTTTGTGCATTTTGCTAACAGTCCAATTTCAAAGTGGCAACTTCTGACATCTTTCTACTTCTAGAAACTATATAAAGAGCAAGTGTGAGCTAGGACTGTGCTACCCCCCGCCCCCCCACCGCCCGGCCGGCCCGCCCGCCAAGCCCAAGCGTTAGGGAATTAAGCATGTTATGTAAGTCAAGCTTTGGGTTTCACACCAGGAGGCTATAAAGCTTTTGGCCTGGAGTCTGCCCTTGTGTTGATTCAAGAGAGTTGCTGTGAAACTGCTCACTTGAGGCGGAGCTTTGGCAGAGGCTCAGCGTGGGAATAGTTCCTGCCCTGGCGTCTCCCCTGAGGAGGGGCGACCACCGAATCTGGCTCTAGGAGAAGAGCAATGGGAAATCTAGACCAGAGGAAGTTTCCAGGGCCCTGCTAGGCAAACTCAGGTTTATCTTATCAATTGGGAAGGGTGGGTAGATTGTTGAAAATCTGGCCTGATTCAACAGTGAAGAGTGACTGAGAAAATTTAGGGCTTTGGAAGCAAACATGATCTAAATCAGAGGAATGACTGGTGCCCTGCCCCGGGGGGAAGGGGTGGGGTGGTGGGGTTTAGCCAGATTGGCACACTTCTCCCAGTCACACTCCCTGATCTTTGCAAAATAAAGTTAAAACTTTGAGCACAAATTAATTTAGTATGCTGCTGTGTAGGGAACAACACAGGAGGAGGGGTACAGACCTGGTCCTTGCTCCTGAGGATTTTTAACCTGAGAGCTGCAGGATCTAGGGCAACATGGCAGTAACCTGTTGTGGGCAGGGTCCTAGCTGAGGAGCTGTACATCAGCCTCCAGAGGTATTCAGTGAAGAATCCGGAAGGGGACAGGATTTGCCCAGAGTCACAGTCTGTGAGAGATAGAGTCAGGATTCAAGCCCAGATCTGTCTGGCTTTGAGGTTGGTGCCTTTTACAACATCTGGAATAAAAATGTGAAATCAGCCTGTAACGGTGCCGTAAGTAAACCATAAAGATGGAGATTCGGGAATAAGAGTTCTGACCTCCTTGAAGGCAGACTTGGGCTATGATCAGAGGTTGGAGTTGTAAGAAGTGGGCCAAGAGCACAGGCCCAGGAGTCCCTAAGACTTGGGTTCCAATCCTGGCTCTGCACTCACTGCTCTGTGACCTTGAGTAAGTGGCTTGACCTCTGCTGTGCCTAGCATCCTCCCTGTGAAGTGCAGAGGATGAAGTTCACCTTCTAGGTTTGCTATGAGGTTTAAATGGGAACAGTCCAAGGTCATTAACTGGTACAGGGACTGCCCATAATGAGTATCTAGTTGTGCTAGCTGTTTGTGTGCCGTGCAGGTGGCTGTGTGGGGGCAATGAGACCAACCAAACTCACCCCACCCCCTCCTGCCTGGCATTCCTGTGCACTCTCCACCCTTGCTCACTGTCAAGTAAGCTAGCAGGGGTAGGACGGGAGAGATGCCCACAGTGGATGCAGGTGAGTGCCATGCAATCCTAACAGGGTGTGGGCTCTGATCTCCCGGTAGCCCTGGGAGCTTCCCTCTCCTTCGCATTTACCAGAAGGAGGAGGAGGCTGCTTCTCAGAGGGGAGCATATGTGCCCAGGGTCCTCTGCCCAAGCATGGCAGAGTCAGACTTGAACTTAGGTGCAAAGTCTGCCTGGCTTCAAACCCAAGCTCTTTTTTGCCATGCCCATGCCACCGCACCACCCCCCTCCCCCGCCAACCTCCGCCACTGGAAATGACCCAGCCCTCCTCCAGTGGGAAGAAACAAAAATGTTATTTGCCTAAAAATGAATGATCAATAGACTAATATGATACCACACAATCATGTTTCCAAATATTTGGTTAATGTTTACCCACGTTCTGCCAAAGCGAAGAGCCCTCAGGTGCACAGCTGCGGATTCCACCACAGGGACTGTGCAGAGCAAAGTTCAGCTTGACCCCTGCTAGGCTCTTACCTGGCCGGCTCCTACCTGGCTCCTTACCTGGCCACTTGGTTACCGCCCCGCCATCATCCCAGCATTGGGCACTTACTCTATGCTAGGTTCAGCACGGACACTTTGAAGCCTCACACACCACGTTATGAAGGGGGTGCTACTGTGATTTCCATTGTATAGATGAGGAAACAAAGACCCAGAGAAGTGAAGGCCTTGCCCTGTGTGTCAAAACCAGGAGCGGCCGGGTGTGGTGACTCAACGCCTGTAATTCTAGCACTCTGGGAGGCCAAGGTTGGAGGATCCCTTGAGCTGAGGAGTTTGAGACCAGCCTGAACAAGAGCAAGACCCCATCTCTACTAAAAACAGAAAAAAATTAGCCGGCGTGGTTGTGCGTGCCTGTAGTCCCAGCCGGTGAGGAGGCTGGGGCGGGAGGATCGCTCAAGCCCAGGAGTTTCATAGCTGTGAGCTATGATGATGCCACTGCACTCTAGCTGGGGCGACAGAGTGAGACCCTATCTCAAAATAAAAAGAAAACTAGGAGCAAAAGAGCCCGGATTCTTTCAGATTCTTGTCTGAACCTCTGCTCTGGCCTGCCGAGCCTGGCACCCCTTCCTGGGCCCTGTATGAGCCAGGCTCCACGCTTCCCTTGGTGGCTTGGTCTTGTTGTTCCTGGTCCTAGACTCTGGCCTGGAATGACTACAGATGACTCCCCAAGGTTCCAGGCCAGGGCCAGGCCATGATGGGATGAGGGGCCCAAAGAGACCCCTTGAGGAAGGCAGGCAGAGAGCCAAACGTCCTTTCCTTCACCTCACTGTGGCCTTTGCCCCAGCGCTGGTGAAGTGACTGTGGACCCCCTTACCCGCCAAGAGACAAGCTTCCCAAGCCTGAAGAGAATAGCTTGCTGGGAGTTCTCATCTCTGCACTCCTCTGAGACCAGTGCCTGGCTCCTGGGAGCAGAGGGCAAACTTTGATACTTTATTAAGCAGCTTTGGTAAAGACTCTTCTCTGAGCAAATGAAGAGGCTTCCACCTCCCTGGCATTGGCCTCTTGAGGAACGAGGTCTTTTCCCAGACTTGGCTGGGTCCTTGTCAATACAACAGCAACGACAGTGATGGCCTGGTCTGAATTAGGAGCCAGATGCTGACCTGAGGGCTTCACAGACCTCCCTCCTCCCTGACCCCATCTCCTGTCCCTTCTGGTTCACCAGTAACTCTGGCCCCCACTGTTTTTCCTCAACCACCCAGACGTGTTCGTGTCCCAGAGCCTTTGCGGTCACTCTGCTGCTATTCCTTCCCTTCCTCATTGTGGGAGGCACCTTTCATCATCATTCAGGACTCAAGTCAAAGGTCTGCTCCTCGGGAAGGCCATAACCCCACCCAACCCCTTAGTCACTTTCTCTGGATCCTGTTTTTCTCTTTTGCATTTAACATTACAATCTGAGGTTGTCTTGTGTATTTGATTGCTTTTTTATTTTCTGTGCCCACCAGAAAAGACAGTACCCTGAGAGCAGGGGCTTGGTTGGTTTTTGTCTCCGCTATGTCCTCAGCCCTTGAGCATACCTCATCCATTGCAGGTATCACTAAACATTTGCTGAATGGATGAAAGAATAATCTAATTTAGCTCTTGCGACAACCTTGTACAGTAGTGTAGCAGAATAAAGGTGACTGCAAATTCTTTGTTACTGCTCCCAGGGCGAGGGGGAGGCTCTCTCTTCTACCTGGGAATCTGGGCTGGGCCTGTCACTCACTTTGACCAACAGAATTTGGTGGCAGAAATGAGGCCATGTGACTTCTGAAGGTAGGTTTTAGGGAGCCTTTCATCTTCCACCTGGGTCTTTCAGAACACTTTCTCTGGGGAAGCCAGTAGCCTGTAAGAAGTCAGACTAGCCTGAGTCGGCCATGCAGGCAGGAAGCCCAAGCAGTCACGTGGTGCCAGACTAGAGAGTAAAGACACCATCTTGCACATCCAGCCCCACTGAGTTCAGATGAGTCTGGCCCCAGCTGCCCTCAGAACGGGGCCACGCAAGGAAGGCCTGCCCAACTGAACACAATCAGGGACATAACTGTGAGAGATTATAAATCATTTTAAACACCGAGTTTTGGAGTGATTTGTTATTCGGTGGTAGATAACTAGAATAGGTAGAAACATTCTCTTCGCTTTTCAAAGAAACCAAGGTACTGAATGGTCAAATGACTTACCTAAGGTCACTTGGCAGAGTTTGGGAATTCCAACATAGATTGTCTGTGAGGCTGGTGCTTTTCATCTCTTGGCCACACTACTTTGATGCTAATTCCTGTTTGTTCTGATTATTTTTATAATAAAAGTTGGTGATCAGTATTAGGTTGAGAGCAGGTTCTGAGAACTTCTTTCCTTCTCATTGCAGATCTTCATAGACAACGAATGGCATGACGCTGTCAGCAAGAAAACGTTTCCCACCGTCAATCCGGCCACTGGAGAGGTCATCTGTCAGGTAGCTGAAGGAGACAAGGTGAGAACTGATGACTTACCTTAGAGCAGGGATGGGTTTGTATCTTTTTTTGAAACAGAGTCTCACTCTCCTGCCCAGGCTAGAGTGCCATAGCATCAGCCTATGCTGATGGTGAGCCTATGTTCACAGCAACCTCAAACTCCTGGGCTCAGGCAATTCTCCTGTCTCAGCCTCCCAAGTAGCTGGGACTACAGGCATGCACCACTATGCCCGGCTAATTTTTTCTATATATATTTTAAGTTGTCCAGCTAATTTCTTTCTATTTTTTTAGTAGAGACGGGGTCTTGCTCTTGCTCAGGCTGGTCTCGAATTCCTGAGCTCAAACGATCCACCCACCTCGGCCTCCCAGAGTGCTAGGATTACAGGCATGAGCTACCACGCCCAGCCGGGTTTGTTTTTTATTTTCTGTTTTTGTATGGTTGAAGCTTTACCATATGCATGTATTACTTTCACAACTACGATATGCCAACAAAAATTTTGGTAAATGAGCTGGATGTGGCGGCTCATGCCTATAGTCCTAGCTGCTTGAGAGGCTGAGGCAGGAGGATCGCTTGAGCCCAGGAGTTTGAGACTAGCCTGGCAACATAGTGAGTCCCCTGTCCCAAAACAAAAACAACAAAAAAATTTTGAGTAAGTGAATCAGCAGAGGGTTGATAATTCATAGTGTGGAATTGTCAACTTGGAAGTGAATTTGGGAAACATCTCCTTTCCAGACCTGGAAGTTGAAGGTCAGAGAAGGGAGATGCACAGCTAGATGGAAATCTTATTGGGTAGAATTTGGGTCTCCTCAGATGTAGCTCTGGTGTTGGTTTGAATTATATATACTGGTAGGAACTAAAAAAAAAGTAATATTATGTTAAAAATTTTTAAATTAGACTCTTAATAAAAATATTTTATTTTTTTTAACAAGAAAGGCATGAAAAATAATTCAAGAATGCTCCCTGCCCTCTGCTTTAAGACAGTCCTTTACATTTATGTGTTAGGCCTTGCCTCCTTTGCCAAAAGCAAATACGAATATTTTTTTGGTTCAGAGGGTAGCCTATGGTAAATGTGTTTAATATGAATGAAAATCCTGTTCCCTGCCTCCTGATTCACATCTCTTGATATAGAAAATGCTGCTGTTTTGATTACTGCTTCCCTAAGGAGTGGGACATTGGTGAAACCTGCATTTGTTGGAGAATACCGGTCATCTTAGAAAGTTCATTTTTGCTGGCCTTACTTCCTTAGGAGTCAAATTCTAAATACTTTTTACGTACTGGGTGCCTCTCCTTCCAAAACTCTTAGAACCTGTCAGGATTCTTGTTCCTACCCCAGCTTCTGGAAAGGAGAGAGAAAAGGTTGTGTTATTCACCCTGTCGCTGAAATCTGCGGTTTGGCGGTTGGAGCCCTGCCTACAGGGCTACAAGGACTGTTTGCGGGCGGATTTCCTGCGCAGCTGGGTGCTGGCAGCCCTCTGGATGCATTTCACAGCGAGGAGTGAGGTATTTGGAGGTGGTTATTGCTGAGAAGGCCTGAGTTTCCTCTGTGGGTGTTTTCTAGGAAGATGTGGACAGGGCAGTGAAGGCTGCCCGGGCTGCCTTCCAGCTGGGCTCACCCTGGCGCCGCATGGATGCGTCTTACAGGGGTCGGCTGCTGAACCGCCTGGCCGATCTGATTGAGCGAGACCGAACCTACCTGGCGGTGAGTCCTCAGCCTTCTCTCTCCCTCGAGTCCCACATGGTGAGTGGGCTTGTAGCATCCTGTGAACATATCCTGGGCCACTTTGCTGACATGTGACTATTCAGAATGGCATAGAATGCACACCTTTGGGGTATGCCCTGCACCAACCAGAGGGGCCTCTCAGTGTCTCCTTTGATGCATGGGTTTGGCTAAGAAAGGTGGAGTCTGGGGCAAGGGAGAAGAGCTATGCTGGGGAGGCCCTCCCAGGAGAGAGACCCCAGGGATGGACACCTCTCCCTGAGCCCCTCCATGGTGGGCCTTCTCCCTGGCTACAGGAGGCAATGCTTTCCCCTCCCCAGTCTGTCATGCACATAGGAGTCAGAGTGAACCTTCCAAAAGGCAAGTTGTACCATGGCACTCCACTCTTTAGCCTTGCATGGCATCCTGTATATTTAGGTTAAAGTCTTCAGCATGGTCTACAAGACCTGCCTAATGTGGCTGCATCACCTGGGTCATGCTGGACTGTGGTGTCACACCCGACCCAGCTCCTCACCAGCCTTCCCTCTGCACCTGCTGCTCCCTCCGCCTGGGTGCTCTTTGCACCATTGCCATTTGTGGCATCCCCTTTGCCTTGGTGCCTCCTACGTATCCTTCAGGCTTTAGCCTAATGGGCTCATCTCCGGTTGGTGTTTCTAGAAGGGGCTGGGCAATCTGGCCTTCTCCTTTTGAGCTAGTGCTCTTCACACATGTGACTGATGAATTGTGTCATCACTCATGGTCTCTTTGCTCTGTAAGCTCCGTGCTCTGTATTCACAGCACCTGGATCTGGCAAGGAGCAGAAGCTAAAAGAATGTGTTTGCGAAAGGACTGAGTGAGAAGTTGGTGCCTCCTGCCTCCCTTCCTCCTCCTCCCTGCCTTTGCAGAGGCCAGGGCAACGGCCCAGAAATGCCCACGACATTCAGTGGCACAAAGGGGACTCTGACCCTTGGCTTCCACCAGCCCTTGTAGCATCCTGTGAACACATCCTGGGCCACTTTGCTGGCCTCAATGCTATTTATTAGCCTGTTCACTTCATTTCATTCCTGCACCAACGTGTCTCTGCTGATCTTGTTCTCTTCTCAGGCCCTGGAGACCCTGGACAATGGCAAGCCTTATGTTATCTCCTACCTGGTTGATTTGGACATGGTTCTCAAATGTCTCCGGTACCGGTTCAAGTTTCCTGTTCTTTGTTCCAGCAGTGCCAAAGGGGAGGGAACATGGTTGGGAGGTAGAAATTGAATTACAGAAATGCAAGAGGATCACAGGAGTTGGAGAAGCCTTATTCCCTTTACACTCCATCTAGTGGGAAAATCCCTCAATATCAAAACGTGACTTAGTCATAAACACTTTTCTCTTTCTTCTTAAGTCACTTTTGGTAATTTATGTGTTACTTGGAACTTGTCTGTTTTATCTTGGTTATCTAATTTGTCAGTGTACAAATTCTTTTTTATCTTTGTAAGGTTTGTAGTAATGTCTCCATTTTCATTTCTGCTTTTGGTTATTTGAGTCTTCTGTGTTTCTTAGTCTTGCTAAAGATTCGTCGAGTTTGGTAATGTTTTCAAAGATCCAAACTTTTGGTTTTGTTCATTTTCTCTGTTGTTTTTCTATTCTCTATTTTGCCTTTGTCTGCTCTAGTCTTTTTTTTTTTTAGACAGAGTCTCACTCTCTTGCCTGGACTAGAGTACCGTGGTGTCAGCCTAGCTCACAGCAACCTCAAACTTCTGGGCTCAAGCGATCCTCCTGCCTCAGCCTTCCGGGTAGCTAGGACTACAGGCATGCACCACCATGCCCGGCTAATTTTTTTTCTATTTTTGGTTGTTTGGCCAATTTCTTTCTATTTTTAGTAGAGATGAGGTCTCGCTCTTGCTCAGGCTGGTCTTGAATTCCTGAGCTCAAACGATCTGCCCACCTTGACCTCCCAGAGTGCTGGGATTACAGGCATGAGCCACCGCGCCCGGCCTTGCTCTAGCCTTTATTACTCCCTTCCTTTTGCTAGCTTTGGGTTTAGTTTAATCATAAACCTTCTAATGACATTTTGTTAGAGTCCTTGGGGTATAGGTAACATAAACTGACTCGGCCCAACTTAGGCAATACAGAGAGTCAGGGGACCTCTCATCCAAAAGGTGAATGGGTCTCATTCACCCTGCTGTCTTGCTTCATTTTTTTCTCAGCTACATGTAGACTCTTTGAGGTCCAGTCTTTGTTGGGACGTAGCTGTCCACCTTGCTTCTGCACACTGATTCCAGCCAGACTAAGCAGCAGTCTCTTAGTCCTAATGCCAAATTCCTGGGCGAGGGACCCTGAGCGGCTGGCCTTGAGTCTGAGGGGCTGTGGTCAGGGTGGACAGACCATTGTGCAAATAATGGCTGCTTCCTTGTGACAGGTGGAAAGAGTTGGTGGGGAGGAAGCAGTGCCAGGAAAGGAGAGGTTGGACAAGAAAACAGTAGTTATCCTTGACAATGGGGTTGCTCAGCCAGGGTGATCATGTCTACCAGAGGACAGTGGGCAATGACCAGAGACAGTTTTGGTAGTCTTGAGTGTAGGGGAGGGGTGCTACTGGCATCTAGTGGGTGGAAGCCCAGAATTCTGGGCTTACACATCCTATAGTACACAGAACAGCCCCCACAATGAAGAATTTTCCAGCCCCAAATGTCAGTAGTGCTGAGACCAAGAAACCCACTCTACAAGGATGCCCTAAAGAGAGTAGCCTGGTGAATCTTGGGCAAAGCCTTCCTGAGTTTTAGCAATTATACCTTTGTGCTAATGAAATAATTGTTCCGAGGCATGCAAAACACCATGTGATGCAGACTGTGTTTATACAGATGTGAGGGGAAGGAAGCGGCAATGTCGGACTTGCATAGATTGGCAACTCCCTAGCTAGCTTCTCTCCAGGGTCAGAAACCCATGTTCAAACCTTGCCAGACACCACTCATTTTAGAAATCTTCTTTTACCCCACACACTGCATTGTTCCCTCATCTTTCATTTTTCCTGCTTCCCTGAACATGTAACCATTATAAAACTATCAATACACAGCTGGTTTTCTCCCCCAGCTCTGGTTTGCTGTGCTTTTCTGTCACTTGTGTCCCTGAGTGTCTAGATAATGAGCTTCACAAGGGGGTGGGGCCCAGTGGGTGGTTCCTGTTTGTCTGGGATTGTCCAGGTTTGGGACAGGGCCCTGCATACAGGAGGTGCTGACTGTCAGATGGGGCCACACTTCCCCACCAGATTTGATCCACGGGGCTCAGATGCTTGTGTGTGGTGCTGGGCTGGTACAACAGTCACATTTTAATAAATCTGGATGTTTATTAAAAATACTGATTCATGGGCCAGGCCCAATGGCTCATACCTGTAATCCCAGCACTTTGGGAAGCTGAGGTGGGAGGATCACTTAAGGCCAGCAGTTTGAGACCATCCTGAGCAATAGGGCAAGACCCCATCTCTAAAAAAAAAATTATCTGGGCGTGGTGGTACCTGCCTGAGTCCCAGCTATGTGAGAGACTGAGGCAGGAGGATCCCTTTAGCCCAGGACTGAGAGGTTACAGTGAGCTATGATTGGGCCACCACACTCAAGCCTGGGTGGCAGAGTAAGACCCTCTCTATAAAGGAAAAAAAATACTGATTTCTGGGCATCAGCCCCAGAGAGCCAGATTGAGTAGGTTGGAAATGGACCCCTGGAATTTGGTGGTTTTTTTGACAAGCACGAGGCCTATAGGTTAGCTACCTAGAGTGGATAATTGTGATCCTTGCAGTCATTTAAGTCTTTCTGGGAATAAGCCAAAAGCAAAAGGAGTTATCAGAAGGACCCACTTGGACCAATTTGAGTCTTCTCTTTCTGCCAGGATTTGCAGGGGTCCCCGACAGTCACTGATTAAAGCTTTACTTTGCTCTCTCTCTCTTTTTTAAAGGTATTATGCTGGCTGGGCGGATAAGTACCACGGGAAAACCATTCCCATCGATGGGGACTTCTTCAGCTACACTCGCCATGAACCCGTGGGGGTGTGCGGGCAGATCATTCCAGTGAGTGCCACCCTCTCTGGGGCTTCTCTAGGAGGGCCGTGAGATTCAGCAGTCTTGCTCGGGCTCCTCGCAAAGGTGGAGGTTCGGGGGTGGCCTGTGTAGTGGTTGAGAAGATGGGCTCTGACAAAGCCAGCTCAGGTTCTCATCTGAGCCGTGCCACTCGCGATCTCTGTGACCTTGGGCAAGTCCTTTATCCCCCTGAGCCTCAGTTTCCCCATCTGAAGAGTGGAAATGAACATAGTACCTGTCTTCGGGAGGTAATGATTAGGGCTTAGCACGGTGCCTTGTGCAGAGAAGCACTCATAAACATGAGTCACTGTCATCATCCCCCACCACCTGCCTTGTCCATCCGTCTTAAACCTGCAGTCAAGTTGTGGGGCATGCACATGCTTCAGAGAACTTGATGCTGCTTCTGCTCTGTGGCACGTTCTGCTCCCTGGTACATGTAGCTCTCTGAGGGAAGGCTTGGATCTCAGGGGTGGCTGTTATTGCAGTGGAACTTCCCGCTCCTGATGCAAGCATGGAAACTGGGCCCAGCCTTGGCGACTGGAAATGTGGTTGTGATGAAGGTAGCTGAGCAGACGCCCCTCACTGCCCTCTATGTGGCCAACTTGATCAAGGAGGTATGTGGCTTGTTCCAGCCTTGACCTCTAAATGCCCTTGTTTGGGCTTGCTCTAAAGGAGTTCTGAGGAGGGACCTCAGAGGCCCCACACGGGGGTGTCGGTAGAGCCCCACGTCACCATACATGAACCAAGGTGGCTCCCCTCATCTGTTGTCTACATTGGGCTTCACTGCAAGATCCCCTGCGAAGAGTGAAAACCATCGTTCTAAAGGAAAGCTGTGGCGGAGGGGCAAGCCACAGGAACCCAAGGAAACGGGCTCCTTGCCTGTTCCGTTGAGAATTCCCATGTAGTACACCATAAAACCGGCTTCTGCTCATGTGTGTCCTTGGCACACTGTCTTAGCCTCTCTGGGAAGGGGTGTGTTCCTCTGTTCAGGCCCTTGGAACATGAGGGTGATACGCAGTGTCCCCTGGCTGTTTGCTCACAGGCTGGCTTTCCACCTGGTGTGGTCAATATTGTTCCTGGATTTGGCCCCACTGCTGGGGCTGCCATTGCCTCCCACGAGGATGTGGACAAAGTAGCATTCACAGGTTCCACTGAGGTAAGGCATCCTTGGGACCTCAAGCTTTTGGTGTGTTTGGCTCAAGCTCCCACTGTCCTCAAAGGATGATATGTTCAAGAGACTCCTGGGTCTGGTGTGGAGGGTCTCTGCTCTGAGGACGTGCCTCTGAATAGCTCTGGTGTGGGCCTTAGAGGTGCCAGGAGGGGTGGGGCTGGGTTGAGCCCTTCGTGGTTTGGTTGCCATTCTTGCTGCTGAGGGGAGGACCTGGCATCCCATGTGGAATAAGGAGGCTGGGACTGATTAGACTAAAGCCCAGAGCTGACCGCCTGCCCCATGTCAAAGCACTGTGATGGTGCCAGGCTCCTTGACCGGCACTGCCATTGTGGTTAAAGACCACGGGCTTCAGAGAGACATGAGTTCAAATCCTGGCCTTGCCGTTACGACATGGGTTGATTCACTGGATGTCTTTGAGGCTCTGTGAGGGTGGCAATATCTGTGTGGTGGAGACAGTATGGACAGGGCAGAGGGGAAAATAATGGGCTTTGGAGTCAAAATAACTGAACGTCGCTCACCCGCTGTGCAACTGCAGGCAAATCACGTAGGCTCTTGAAGCCTCCATTTCCCCATCTGTGAAATGGGGACAGTAACTGTACCCATCTTGCAGGATTAGCGTAAAGGTGAGATAAAGCTTCCAAAGTGTTTAGCCAAAAGTGTTCCATGAGTGAATGAATGAGTGACCAGATGAGGGGTATTGTTACCCTGCTGTCTGCCAGACACTGGAGAGATAAAGACAAATTAAGATGTGATTCCTTAAACATAATCAATCTCCTGGAAAACAGGGACAGAATTCCTCTAAAGACATAAACTTTTTCCTCTCCCCGAAATCTTGGAACATGTCATCGCGTGACTTCTGAGAAGGAATGCTGAATAGTGTAATGAGTGTGAGCTTCAGACAGTTCCACCTGCCATAAGTACACATTCAGACATTCAGTCTGCACGTAGGGATGACAGCTCTGGGGAGGGCAGCACGGTGGCCAGGATAATGTGGTCAGGTTCTGTGCTTAGTCACTGCCTAACTTGATGCCGAGAGGTGATGATAAGACTCTCACAGAGAGGGTGGTTTCCTGGTGGGGATAGGTGTGTCCATTCAGCAAATAAGCACAGGGAGGCTTTGTGCCGGGCTGTGGGAAGTGAGAAGTGAGACATTGAGAAGTGCCCTGCCACATCGCACGGAGCCTGGCGTGCTTGGGGACAACTCTCTGGACATCGTGAGGAGAAGGCTAGGTAGCAGGTCTGAACTGGTGCTGGAATCAGCTGCCCGAGTATGGATTCTGATCTTACGTTAACTAGCTGTGTGACTTTGGGCAAGTGACTTGACCACTCTGGGCCTCATCTCCCACATCTGTAAATCAAAAAGAAGAGTCGCCCCCAATTCCCAGGTCATTATGAGGGTCAAATTTAACACAAAGCATATAGCACAGTGCCTGACACATAGGCACTGCTTAGTGTGCAGAAGCCACACGACAATGACTCTGTATGGCTGTGGTCATTGTCATTCCAAAAGCTCAGGGAGTGGGACAGCTCAGTGAACAGCTAGATTTGGTGGACTCTCCAGGTCTCCTGTAATCCAGGTACTTGCCCGAGTTGTGGGGTGTTCTGCTCTGGGTCTGTGTAGAGTGTCTGGCTCCTCCTCGCTGAAAGCTGGGCTCAGTTTCTGTTCCCCATAGGTCGGCCACCTAATCCAGGTTGCTGCAGGGAGCAGCAACCTCAAGAGAGTGACCCTGGAGCTGGGGGGCAAGAGCCCCAACATCATCATGTCCGATGCTGATAGTAAGTGTTGGCCTGGGGGGCAGTCCCACTCACTCCCGCCGTCCTTGGCACCCAACGGCATCAGTTTCTGCTGGGCATCGGGCCTCAGGGTGATAGCCAGACTCTAGCACAGTCTGGCCTTGGTCTGTCCCCCAGCCTCTTCCTTGGGGCTCCCTTGGGTCCAGCCTGCATCCAGCTGTGCTGCACCCCTGCCTTTTGACTAGACCACCCTGTTGCCATCACGTCCTTTGTCCTTGTCTGCAGGGGGCTCCCAGATTGGCCCTCCACCCTCCGTGTCTGTGGCGCCAGCAGGCACCAACCCTGATGGTGGTGGGAACAGGCTATATGGGGAGGCAACACTGGGGCCAGGGTCCCCCTCTTCTCACTGTCACCCTTCTGTCCCCATCCCCTCCCCACAGTGGACTGGGCCGTGGAGCAGGCCCACTTTGCCCTGTTCTTCAACCAAGGTCAGTGCTGTTGTGCTGGCTCCCGGACCTTTGTGCAGGAGGACGTTTACAACGAGTTCGTGGAGCGGAGCGTTGCCCGGGCCAAGTCTCGAGTGGTCGGGAATCCCTTTGACAGCAAGACGGAGCAGGGGCCGCAGGTGAGCCAGGCAGCTGCAGAGTGGACTTGGTGTCCAGGGCTAGCATAAGAAGCACAAACGGCCTTGGGCTTGGAGCCAGGTGGGACTAGGTTCAAGTCTCAGCTCTGCCGTGTCATGGCTATGTGCCCCTGGGAAGCCACGTTTCCTCTCTGAGCCTCCATTTCCGGTCCCTGAGACCTGCCCTGTGTAATTCACAGGGTGGCTGCAAGTGGAAGTTAATCCTGGAAGCACATGTAAATTGCACATATATAACAAATACCAGGAGCATCTGCAAAAGGAAAGGTGTGTTTCCTGGACCTTGGCCATCCGTAAAAACACATTTACCAGAACAATACACAGATGTGTAAACCATGGTTGTCTCTGGGGAGAGAGCTGAGGGCCATGGTATGGGTAGGACAGGGACTTTATTTCACTTTATATTCTTCTGAGCTGCTTCATTTGTTTTCATACCATGAGCATATGTTCATTTTAATCCGTAAAACTAGTGTGAATAATAATTATAATAAAAGTAAATCCCGTGCCCATCACCACCACCTCCTCTTCCACTTGGGTTCGTATTCCAGCAATGTCCTGGGCTTGCTACTTGTAGGGCCTGTGCTGGCCCCTCCAGCCACTCTTCCACGGGCCCAGGGGTCACAGGGCCAGGGATGTACCTGCCCTGGCCCTGGTCACCCCTTCTGGACCTCACTCCGGGCCCCACCCTCTTAAGGGTGCTCTGTACTGCTAGCATCCACTTCCCAGGCTCTAGGGCTGGCCAGGGGCAGCCCGCCCCCTTTTCCTCAATTAGTTGACTTTATTTTTCAAGACAATTTTAGATTTATAGAACACGTGAGCTAAAGGCACAGAGAGTGCCCATGTACTCCCTTGCACCTCCCTCCTCTCCCAGTTTCCCTTTTATTAACATCTTGCATTTGTGAGCATTGAGGAGCCAATATTGATACGTCATTAATTAGAGTCCAGAGTTTACATTAGGGGTTACACTTCATGTTGTGCATTCCGTGAGTTTGACAAATGTGTAATGATGTGTACCTACCATTCCGGTATTGCAGAGAATAGATTCACTGTCCTGTGTCTTTCTTCTTCCCACCCTGCTTATTTATGACCTTGGCCCATCTCCCAGCTGTCTTGTCGCCCACGTGAGTCTAAGCCTGATGCCTAGGAAGGGTCTGAACCCAGCCTTCCCATAACTCTGGGCTCCTTCTCCTGCAGGTAGACGAGACTCAGTTTAAGAAGATCCTTGGCTATATCAACTCCGGGAAGCAAGAAGGGGCAAACCTGCTGTGTGGTGGGGGGCCTGCTGCTGACCGTGGCTACTACATCCAGCCCACTGTGTTCGGAGATGTGCAAGATGGCATGACCATCGCCAAAGAGGAGGTCAGCATCTGGGCTAGCGCCCCGGGAAATGGTCCTGGGGGTGAGGAGAGGTGGATAGTTCAGTCTGGCACCTTGACTCCGTGACCCATCTGGCTAGCTTTGGACCAGATCTTGGCTCTGTGCCTAGAACAAGTTATTTACATTTTGCATCTGATCTTGTCACTCTCCTCTTCAGCCTGTATGGCCACCCACTGTCTGGGAGAATAGCTAAATGCCCTAGCAGAGCCTTTGGGTTCTGGCCCTGAGGGCCATGAGTCTAGGAAGGAGTTGCCTGGCCTTCTCGTGGCCTTCCTATACACAGTACTCACGTTAGACCAAAGGGCTGACTCCTCATGTAACGACATGGCTTTGATGTCCCCCCTCAGTGCTCACTGTGAATGCAGGGCAGCAGCTCTAATGCATTTCACAAATACGAATGCCAGGGCGAATGCCTGCTCTGTGCTGGGCTCCCTGCAGATCCTGAGCCACGGGTGCATCCAAGATGTGTCCTCTGCCCTCATGGAGCTCAGACCCGCTGCTTGTCCGCCAGCTGGGTTAAGCCCTTAGCAGCCGCATGCAGGGAAAATGTGATGCTGCATCCTTTCGTGTATAAGTCAAACTAAAGTAATGTTAAAATGCAAAGCCAGAGTAAGAAAGTCCAGCACAATTCTTCCTTTTTCCCATCATCACTACTTGGATGCTTTTCTTTAAAATCTCAGATATCAGCTGCCAAGAAGGGCAGGGGCTGCCCTTTGCTCATGCCTAAAGTGTATGATGCCCAACTTTCTGTCCTTACTCCAACCAAGATGAGCTCCTGGCTGTCCTTGCCCACCTCTGTCAGTACACTCTCCAGTCCTGGAGTCAGCCAGTTCTTTAAGGAGTTCCTTCTAGTAGAGAGTGGGATTTAGTGAGAGTAGCCACTGGGTGTGTTTGTGCTGGGCTTTCTATTTCCCTCTCTGTTCCTCACCCACTGCAGTTTGGACAGTTTCTGCTCATATTGTATCACGGCTTGGCTGTCACTTCTGCTAGTCCTTCCCTGACACTGTCCTCCCCAGCACCCACTCAGGCCCCTCTGGGCTCCCCTGTCATCCCCTGCTTGGAGTGACTGCATTATGATCACTTGATGGGGCACTATAACCCCTTACAACCAGTCCCCCCATGGTCGCCCCTGAGAGCAGCGACACCCCAACAGCAGCAGACACACCTGCCACCCACACCTTGGTTTCTAAATACCCTTCTCAATGAAAAGAAACCAGAGTTCCTTAAGAAATGGCTTATTCCAGGGGCCTGGTGTGGTGGCTCATATCTATAATCCTAGCACTGTGGGAGGCCGAGGCAGGAGGATTGCTTGAGGTCAGGAGTTCGAGACCAGCCTAAGCAAGAGTGAGACCCCCATCTCTACAAAAAACAGAAAACTTAGTCGGGTGTGGTGGCACATGCCTATAGTCCCAGCTACTCAGGAGGCTCACTTGAGTCCAGGAGTTTGAGATTGCAGTGACCTATGATGACACCACTGCGCTCTAGCCCAGGTGACAGAGAACTCTGTGTCAAAAGAAAAAACAAAGAAATAGAAAACAAAATAATGGCTCATTCCAGGAATAGTGTGGGGAAAACATAAGATAACCTGGAACATCTTGAAAGCAGAGACAACATTTTGTTCATAGTTGTTTCTTCAGCACCTAGCCCATGCCTTGCACATAGATTATATTTGCCGGATGATTGACTTAAATTCTTTGACATTAAATCTATATATCACATGCAAATAACTCATACCTTCCAGGACTGTTTAGAAATAAGATACTGTATGTAAGGCATGGGGCACATGGAAAGTAATCACTCCTCGTTCGCTTCCTCCCCTCTGCCTTCTGGTGAGTTTGGTGGCTTTCATCTCCCTCTGGAACCGTCAGGGTATGTCTGGGGGCTCATCCCCACATCTGGTATCTGAGGTCCCCACCTCAACAGCAGGTGTTTCCATGTTGCCACACCCTCCTCTCTATTCTCTCACCCCAGATCTTCGGGCCAGTGATGCAGATCCTGAAGTTCAAGACCATAGAGGAAGTTGTTGGGAGAGCCAACAATTCCAATTATGGACTGGCTGCGGCTGTCTTCACAAAGGACTTGGACAAGGCCAATTATCTGTCCCAAGCCCTCCAGGCTGGCACTGTGTGGTAAGAGCCTCCCACTGACCACTCACAACCTAGCAGAGATTCTCCAAAGCCAGGGCCTTATAGAATCCAGTGCCCACCATCCCAGAATTTGGGGAGCTGGGCTCAGTTTCTCCTGGAGTCAGGTGTGGTCTGGCCAGTAGATTAGAGAGCTCCTGCCTCCAGGAGATCAGACTCTCCAGTGCAGATGCCCCTGCAGCTCTCCTTGGGCAGGCAGCAGGGAGACTGGGGCAGGAGATCAGAGCTGAGCGTGCTTGTGGTTGTAATGCTGATTCTAAAAGTGTAGCACCTACTTTATACCCACTAAAATGGCTGTAATTTTAAAAAACAGAAAATAACAAGTGTTGGTGAGGAGGTAGAGAAATCAGAACTCTCATATATCGCTGGTAGGAATGGAAAACGGTGCCTTCAGTGTGGAAAACAGTCTGGCGGTTCCTTAGGAAGTTAGACATGGAGCTACCATATCGCCCAGCATTTCCACTGCCAGGTGTATACCCAAGAGAGATAAAAACACACATCCACATAAAAACGTGCACATGAATGTTCACAGCAGCACTATTCAAGACAGCCATAATGTGGAAACAGCCCAGATGTCCGTCAACAGATGCATGGATAAACACAATGTGGACTATCCACGCACTAGAACATGATTCAGCCATAAAAAGGAAAGAAATACTGATGCTGTAGCCTGGATGAACCTTGAAAACATGACACTAAGTGGAAGAACACAGACTCAAAAGGCCACATACTCTATGATCCCATTTATATTAAATACCTAGAATAGGCAAACCCATAGGGACAGAAAGTAGATCAGTGGCTACCAGGAGCTGGAGGAGAGAGGAATGGGGAGTGAGTGATTATTTGGCACAGGGCTTCTTTTGGGGGTAACAGAAACATTGTGGAATTAGACAGTGGTGATGGTTGCACAACATTGTGAATATGCGATAAACCACTGAACTGTATACCTTAAAATGGTGAATTTTAAATTTAATTTAAATTTAATAACTTCTTTTAAACTGAAAAAAAAGGAAAAGCTTAGCACCTAATTAGCCAAATGATTAGTTCGAATTGGAAGCTGTTCTGTTCATCCGTGAGCACATCATCAAGGACAAAGATGACTTCGGGCTTTATCTCATGGGGCTTGTTTTGGATTCCTCTATAGCTGGTTGTTACCACAGTGCTACCCATTCGTTTTTCCTCAGCAAGATTTGAGAGCAATGCAAGGAGTCCCAGGGGTATAACACATAACCCCCAACAGTGATTTCTGCAATCTCATTTCAAATTACAGGGTCAACTGCTATGATGTGTTTGGAGCCCAGTCCCCATTTGGCGGCTACAAGATGTCGGGGAGCGGCCGGGAGCTGGGCGAGTACGGTCTGCAGGCGTACACTGAAGTGAAGACTGTGAGTACAGGGCCTGCCCTGGCTGCCACTCCTAGACCTCTCCTCCAGCTTGAGGCCATCAGTATTTCTTACTATTATTATAATAATTTCTCTCTTTTAGCCCAAGAAGCTACAAGAGAGGGTAAAGACCCAGTCTCTGCTCTGTGCCATAAGAACTAACTAGGGACTTGCCCCCCACCAGCCTTACATGGTCATTTGCTACATGGTCATTTTGCCAAGGCCTAAAAAGCAAGAGAGGAAGGAAAGACCCCAGTGGGCAGAAGCAGCAAGGAAAAGCTTCTAGTAAGAATCGGCGATTAGGCATTAGATATCAAGGGCCTTAACCATCTCATATCCTTTGGTTTTGCAATTTCAGTGCTGGGAATACAGCCTGAAGGACAAATCAGAAATGCAAAGAAAGTAAAAGTTCCATAAATGTTCAACACGGCATTATCTCTAAGAAGGAGAAATCAGATATGACCTAAATGCCCAGTAAATTATGGGACATCTCAATCATGGAGCATTGAGTAGCCATTAAAAATGTTTTTGTAGAATATTTGATATGGAAAATGCTCATCCTTTAAAGTAAAAAGCAGGACACAAAGTAATATACATGCAATATAAGCCCAATTTTAGAACTATATAGGGACATCTGTAGATACTCGGATACATTTTTTCATAAATGTAAAAATTACAGGAAGGAAATACACTAAAGTGAAAATGATTTTCTCTCTGCAGTGAACACTAATTATAGTTTAACCAGGAAATATAGACACAAGTGATATTTAAAGAAAGAGATAGGGTTTGAGCTGGGCTTTCTCAGGATTGCAAAGAGAAGGCTCAGGGCAGGACAGCCAGCCGTGTGGAGCAGGAGAGAAAAGGCAGATGCCATTCATTCAGGATGATAGCACTAAGCCTCAGACTAGAGAGACATAGATGACACAGCCTGTGCTCTTGAAAAGCTCACTGGAATAAACTAAACGTGTTTGCTTGTTTAGTGTGGAAACTTTCCAGTGTATGCAGGAAGAGGTATGATAGCATCACAAGCCCCTGTGTCCCCACCATATGGTGGTGACAAAGACAAGCTCACAGGCAGCCTTGCTTCCTGCATACCCTGCCAGCTCCCAGTACACATACTTCATATGGTGCATGAGCAGAGCCTGCTGCAGCAGCAGGTGGCCCATGATGGTGGAAAGCTTGCACTGGGTTTTCGGGGATGACACTGGGTAGAAAGAGCCAACCTGAAGTGATGGAGAGTCTTAAATCTTGGAACGTGATTAGTTTTAAGGAGGAGACGTCTGGGATGCCTACGTAGCAAGGTAATAATATTTAAGCTGATACCTGAAGGATGAGGAGAAGTTGAGTTGGTAAGGGGAAGAAGAGAAGAACATTCTAGACAAAGAGCATGGTTTATGGAAAGGCCATGGTGGTGAGAAACATGGCTATTCCAGGAATGGAAGGGAGGTTGCTGGTATCTGTGAGATACCAGTGAGAGATTAAGTATGTTATTTTTTCCTTGCTTTGAATCTTGTGGAGAAAATATGAATCTAGGGCAGGTTTCTCCACCTTGGCACTATTGTTTGGAGCTGGATGATTCTTTGTTGTGGGGGCTTCCCTGAGTAATAATGTAGGATGTTTAGCGGCATCTCTGACCTCAACTTACTGCATGCCAGTATTGCCATCCTCCCATGACAATCAAAAATGTCCACAGACATCGCCAGCTGTCCGCTGGGGGCACGTGCACCCTGGTTGAGAACCACTGGGCTGGGGGGAGGCAGGGTGGCCACAGCCCTGGGGGTTCTTGGGATTGGCTAGTTGGCCAACAACAAGTAAGAAGTTAGAAGTTAGAAATAAGAAAAGCCCCTTCTGCTTATACTAGGGCATCACCTACTGAGGGTGTCTACAGATCACAGGGAGGCATGGAGATCTCATAATTTCTCTGTGCCCCTCTTATAGGTCACAGTCAAAATTCCTCAGAAGAACTCATAAAGAACCCGGCTGGCTTCCTTCCCCATCCAGTGACAGAAGGTTCACCAAGATCAGCAACAAAACCAAGAAAAATGAACCGTGCACGCTAAAAGTCTCAAAAGAAAGTCCCAGAATTTGAATTGATAAGCAGGGTAGGGTGAAGGGTGTATGGAGAGCCTTTTAAACTGCAACAATATTGCTGGCTTTCAGGGTCATTTTAAAAAATAGACTCAAATATCTTATCCTGTCTCTCTGATATACTTCCTGTAACTTGCCTTTATGAGAGAAGAAAAAGTCATTGTTTACAATTGTATTAACATTAGCATTGAGACAACTGCTAGCACCTTGCTTTGTAATCTGGACTAAACCTCATTAAACACAGGCTACTCTTAACTTCCTGGGTAACTCTTTGTCCATCTCAATAACTCAAGGAAATGCTGCCAGGCAGGAATACTCTCCCTGCTATTGGTATATATAATTCCTGCCCCTCCCCTGCTATGGGTAAAGAGCTTTTGTTTCATGCATTTGATTAACAAATACCTCTGGCCTGTCTACCTGTGGCAGGCCCTGAGGCAGGCTCTAGGGACAAAACCTAAACAGGACACCCTCAGAGAGCGGGGAAGTAAATCAGGAAAGAGATGTTGAATGTCCAAGGCTGGTTCTATTTTGTAAGTTCAAAAACTTGGTCAGACCAAATGAGACAGGGTCATGCCAGACCGATTTCATAAGAGATTGATTTGGAAACCAGATGTCAGTTTATTCACTTAAGTCAGATCTGTATCTTCACTAACCAGTCTCCTCTCCAGAATGCTGCCTTCCTTTAGTCAAGGTACCTGGCAAATTAGTAGTTAGTTTTCTTAGTCCTTGGTCACTGGAAGATTCCTTGGTGAGGACTGGAGTTGGAGCAAAAAGAGGTGAATTATAGAAGTAGTTTGTTAAGTTTGTGATCACAGATTCCTCAGAATTTGAGGAAAAGTTTGACCCTCTCCAAAGAAAAATGTGCCTTCTGTTTAATTTTTGTTCCTGGTGTCTGGGGATGCTGAAGCTCATTAGCTGACCCTGGCTGTATTTCACCCAGGCTGAGCCACATCTTAATAACCAATCCTTATTCCACTGAAGATCCATGTTATTTTTTTAGAGATAGGGTCTTGTTCTATCACCCAGGCTGGAGTGCAGTGGCCCAGTCATAGCTCACTGTAACCTCAAACTCCTCAGTTCAAGCACTACTCCTGCCTGAGCCTCCTCAGTAGCTGGGATTATGGGCATGAGCCACTACACCTGGCTAATTTTTCTTATTCTTTTAGACATGGGGTCTCACTGTTTTGCCCAGGCTGGTCTCAAGTAGTCCTCCCACCTCAGCCTCCCAGAGTGCTAGGATTACAGGTATGAGCCACCACACCCAGCCTGGTGATTAGCTTATACCTGCGGTTTTGAAGTGGAAAATTGGAAAATTCCACTAAAGTGGAAAATTCCACTACCGAGCTTTGTCCTTTGCATTCCTTACCTGAGGCCCCTCCTCCCCTGCGACCTTTCCCCTCATAAATCACCTGTAGCAATTAGTGTACCAGGCTGTAAAGTAACTTAGGACTCTGCCTCACTAAAGTTAACCCTGTTGTAACTGTGCCCCTCCCCCTTAAGCAGAGTGTATAAAAGACTGCAGTGCTCTTTGTCTGCTGCTCAGAATTTGGAGGGAAAAATCCCCATCTGAGCCCGCTGGCGTATAAACCTGTTTTTACCAATGTTTCTGTGTGCGTGTCGGTCTATTCCCGGTCATCTCTGCCGTAACAGTTTAAGGTCCACCTCTGTAACTAGGAGCGGAGCCCCACAGTCTACCTGGGCTGAGAATAAGGGAGGCAGGGATCCCTGTAAGAAAATCAGGGCTATTGCCTAAAGAAGAGAACATGGAGACTGGAGAGTCCCCTACTGAGGGACACTGATGCCACTGCCAATCTTTTAGTACTACAGACACTGCTGCGAAGGACCCCTAGGAGCGAATTGGAAAAGACAGAGAATGCAATGCTTCCTGCCTCCTAGGCATGTGCATCAGACTCACTATACCTGTAAGACAATCAGCTCTTTTAACCAATGAATAGGAAAGGAAATATTAGCTATGAAGAAAAGTCCATACCGTTGATTTTGACATCCTAGACAATTGTTAATCTCCTTGCACTTTTAGTGACTGGAACCACTAGCCATCTGAAGTAAGAAAGTTCTCAGCTTATGAACCACCTAATCTCTCTGGGTATTTGGATGTGGGTCAGTCACAGGAGTATTGGATGTAAAGCTGCTGTTTCTTGGTAGAGCCTTGACAGGCCCTCAAGAGGAAATTCTGGTTGAACAAAGGACATAGGAAGCTTTTCATGCAGCCTGGAGAACTCAGCTGAGGAGGCGCCACCTCTTGGGCCATAAGTAGAACTACAGTGCTATCCTCTGAGAGCTGACAGGACAGACCTACGCGCGGGTGTCCTTCAGACGATGTTGCATATAACTCGACTCTACACCCGGCAGGCAATGCAATGAGGGAATCAAGAGGCCAGGGTCATATCCCCAAAAGAAGTGAAAACGGGGACTCAACAAAAACTTGTACACGAATGTTCACAGGAGCACTATTCACAACAGCCAAGAGGTGGAAACAACCCAAATGTACATCAACAGATGAATGGATAAACAAAATGTGACATAGCCACACAATAGAATATTATTCAGCCATAAAAAGGAAATACTGATACATATGGGCATGAATCTTGAAAACCATCATGCTAAGTGAAAAAAGTCAGATACAAAAGGACAAATACTGTATGATTTCACTTACATGAAATGTCTAAAATAGGCAAATCCATAGAGACAGAAAGCAGATTGGTGGTTGCCAGGGGCCCTGGAAGCAAATAGGGGTGTGACTGCTAATGGGTTGGGGGTGTCCTTTTGGGGTGATCAAAATGTTTTGGAACTAGATAGAGGTGGTCGTTGCACAACATTGTGAATATACTAAATGCCACCAAATTGTTTACTTTAAAATGGTAAATTTTATGTTATGTAAATTTCATCTCAATTTAAAAAACCAGGGTCACAGAGCTGGTCAGGGGAACTTGGGCAAGCCATATAACCTCTGGAACTCTGTTTCCTCCCAGTCTCTCTAGTGACTTCTGAAAGGGGCTACCTTGCAAAAATAACAGGAAAGTACCTAATTCCACAATTTCCCCCGTAACAGCTAAAGATCGATCCTCTGAACTCTCTCTGCTTTTTCTCTCCCTAGCTGACAGGCACCCTGCATGGGTCCATTTCACATCGGAAAAGAGCTGAATAGACAGAAAGGAAATGTAAATCTTTCTCTTTTTTTTTTTTTTTTTTTGATCTATTTTTAGTAGAGATGGGGTCTCGCTCTTGCTCAGGCTGGTTTCGAACTCCTGAGCTCAAACAATCCACCCGCCTCGGCCTCCCAGAGTGCTAGAATTACAGGTGTGAGCCACCGTGCCGGCAGTAAATCTTTCTCTTTACATTTGACAGCTCACTGCCTTTTAGAATTTGTTTTATAGCCTCAAGGAGTGCCTGAGAAGCTCCTGGACAGACAGCATGGCTGCAAACTCTAAGCCTCAGTTTCCTGCCCAAAACCATATCTCAGGGGTGAGATCATATCCCCAGCGATAAGCCTGACTACATTTCAGAGATAATCAAGTCTCCAGGAGAAGAAAAACAGGAAAGATGGACAACCTGACCTCTTGCAGCTGCCTCCTGCTAATTACTACACAGCAGCTTCTGTTATCAACTGACAACAATCACTTTTTTTTTTCCTTTCTCTTTGTCCCCATAAAAACAGCAAGTCACTTGGCCTCAGTGTGCCCACCCCACTTCTCTTTTCTGGGTGCAATGCCATCTCTCTTTCTCTGTCTCGCCACTCAACTCCCCTCTTTTTCCGTTTATTTCTCTTTTCTCTCTCTCATTCTCTCACTTTCTTTCACCTTCTAAAAGATAAAATGAAATTTATACTTTTACATCCTAATCTCTGTGTGAGAAGTTTTTCTCCACCCATGCAACGAGCACCTACTGTTTTCTACCCTAACAACTTCCAGCTCTCATTTGGTTATTTTGTAAAGGATAAAAGGGAACTGATACTTGTTTATTTATTTTGATTTTATTAACCTTTTTGAAAAGGAAATTAAATACACATGGTAAAAAAAAATCAATGAAATGTAAATCTGGTGCTCAATCCTGTGGCCCCCAAGAAGAAATATTTATCATACACTCACTAAATACCAGGAACTTGGCGCCTTCTTTTCAAGAGCTTCATTTTAAGGAGGAGGAAATGGAGGCTCAGAGAGGTTTAGTGATAGCCCATGGGTCACACAACTTAAAGTGGCCAAGTTAGGACTGGAATCCAGCCCTTCTGGTTTTGAAGTCAGCACTCTTTCTTATCCAGGAGCTCTCCCTGCAAGATCTTTCCTGGTGCAACTGCACCCAGCTAGCCAGAATGCCAGGCTGTGTGCCCCACGTGATAGTCTCCTTCTCCTCTAGGACAGCACTTTGCAACCTTGAACGTGCATCAGAATCCCCTGCAGCGCTTGTGAAAACACAACTGCTGAGTTCACTCCCAGAGTGGCTGATTCAGAAAATCTGGGGTGGGGACTGAGACTTCCAATTGCTGACAAATTCAGGTGACACTCATGCTACTGGTCAGGAGGACACCCTTGGGAATCACTGCCCCAGAAGAAATACACTGTCAGCCTTTCCTCCTTCCACATAGAAACCCTCTCATCTCCTTCACATGAGAGGGATCTTCTGCCTTCAGAAAGCTTTGTATTAAAAATGTTTCCTTTTTACTTGCTATTTTTAAATTATTTCAAACTTACAGAGAACTTGTAAGAACAGTACAACAATCTCTCAGCAACTCTATCTAGATTCATCCATTTTTAACATTTTGCCCCATTTGGACTATTCCTCCCTGCACCCACCCTTTTCTCACCTCATATATACTTTTTCTTTTTTTTTTTTCTGGGCCATCTATGGGTATGTTGTAGGCATCATGCCCGTTTACTTATTATTTGTGGAAATTGCTTTGTTGTGACATAACCAATCACATAAGGCTGGCATAATGAGGAAGCCTACACAGAGAATAGGTATCTGTTAGCCTGGGTTCAACTGGACAAGCAGGAATTATGTGTGTGTGTGTGTGTGTGTGTGTGTGTGTGTATAATATCAAGGAATTTGGTTTATGGGATTGTGGGGGCTGGCTGGGCAAGTCTGGAATCTATAGAGTGGGCCATAAGGAAGGGCAAGGCTGGCTGTCCAGGGTGAGGTATTTCTTCTTCAGGGGAAGCTGTAGAAGCTTCCCAGGATTGGATCCACCCACCCAGGTTATCTAGAGTAACTACCCTTGTTTGAAGTCAGCTGATCATGGA